ACCTTTATACAATGGTACCTCAAATTGAAGGAGTACTTTCATTGAAGAAAATGTTAGACTATTTGAAATTAAAACAAGTTAGTGGTTTTAAAATAGAAACTATTATTAGATTAAGTCGATTTGTTATGCAAAATAATTATTTTTCTTATGATGGCCAGTTTTATCATCAAATCCGAGAAGGAGCAATGGGTTCTCCTCTTACTCTAACTATTGGTAATTGTTATATATTCTTTTATGAAAAACAAATAATTAAACAAATTAGCAATATTAATGGATTATATTTTAGATATATTGATGATATATTTGTAGCAATTAATTGGCCTTTTCGACATTTACTTAAACAAATCGACAGATGGAATAAATTTGACGAAAATATTAAATTATCAGAAAGTATCGGTATAACAGGTGATTTTCTTGATTTACATATAGGAAATCAAGATGGTCAATTAATTACTAAGGTTTATCAAAAGCCATCTTATGAACCATATTATTTACCGTTTAATAGCATTCATCCATTACATATGAAAAAGAATATAATATTTACTATATTACTTCGTGCTATTAGATATTGTTCAACATTTCAAGATTATCTGAATGAACGTGAAAAATTAAGAATGGCATTGTTATTAAATAAATATCCAAATAAATTTATAGATGAACAATTTAATAATATATTGTCAAAATTGAATATTATTCAACCATTAACTTGTAGTAATTATGCTGATTATCGTCAGAGAGTTATAGATTCTCCAATAAAAGAAATAGTACCAGTTGATTATGGAAAGACAATATCCGTACATTTTACATATTGTTCAAGTATGAGAACATTTCCAATTAAAATTTTATGCTCTTTGGAACAAATATTTTGGCGAATCTCCGATTAATGAAATATTACCTATTCTTGGTACACGCAATATTAACAACCTCCAAAGACGGTTAGTACATACGAGAACATAAAAGATAATTTCATTAAATATATGGAACGATATATTTGTTAATTTTTAAAAAAGAAAATTTAATATATTATTTATTGCCTTAAATTAATTAAATAACCATATAATTGTTTGAATTACAACATTATATGGTAATTATATTATAAATATATACTTTTGAAAACAAGATCGATTTACTCAATAAATTTAAAACTTGATTACATTTATATTAATTGACTATTATTTTTCATCCCGTCGGTATTTATTACATAACAATAGATCATTTTCAGCATAAATTTTATGATCTAGATTGTAAAGTCTTTTCAAGATAAATAACGAGTTTTTGAAAATATAATTTAACATTGTACTTCGAGCCTATCGAACAATTCAATCAAGCAAAATTTATTGATCAATTAACAATTTTACTACCAACCAAAATGTTAAACCGTTAATGGAATATTAAACCAGTTCTATTGTCCTCTAAATTAACTTATTTGGAAGACGGTCATAATGGTTACATTAGTAATTATTATAAAATTCACCGCCAACTAAACGGTTGTTTGGCATACATACCCCACATATATATATAAAAGTTCACCATTACGTACACGTACTAATATATTGACAACAACAATCAATTAATACTTTGAATTAAGTGTTATATAATTTATTGAAAATGGTGTAATTTTGTATCACTAATAATGTATGATATCTTCAAAGATAAATAATTTATGGCGTCAATGGACATGTATGGTTGAACGATGTTATCCTTATTTACCATTAGTCTTAGAAATTTATTCCATTAACATTTAAACTTAAAGAAAAACGACAAGAATTAGCCAATAAACTTTTGGCAATATTTAATCAAGATGTTTTTTCTTCTCAACTATCAGATAAAATCAGCGTAATATGGAGTGGTCGTTTAACAGCTACGGCTGGTCATTGTACCAATTATCTGTTAGCTAAACGTTGAGTTATTTAATATATAGACAAATAAGTGATATTATCATACCTTCAGAGACAAGTAAGCGATATTGTCCGTATCTTTAAATACAAATAAGTGGTATTATCCAGAAAATTTATTAAAATTTATTAAACAAAATTTATTGATCAATCAAATATTCTTTCATTTGGTGTTTATTAATTAATTTCATCAAGCAAAATTTATTGATCAATCAATTATTCTTCCAATTGAATGATATCTTCATGGATAAATAAATGATATTGGTATACTTGATAATATCATGTCTTTTAGTTTTATTGTTTGATTAACTTTTGTTTTGATTTTATTCTGTCTTTAATTTTTATCCTTTATTGTGCTCATTGATTTTCATTTTTTTCTGATTTTGTTGTGCTTCTTAATTTTTAATTTTTATCTTTAAAATTAGTTTTTGATTTTTGTTTTTAATGTAATGCAGAGCCCTGATGAGTGTTTCAATATTTCAATAAAAAATACGAAACGCGTCGGCGAAAACAATCTGCATTTCTTTTTAATTATTTTAATTCAAGCATATTTATATTTATTCAATTTTAATTTGATTTTCGACAGGAAATCGATTGCTGAAAAGCAAGGGTTGAGACTAGCAGATTGATTTGTATTTATAGAAATATGAGTCGATCTGTTTTCCAATTGATTTTCGAAGCGGTCGATGAGGTATGCTTCGACAAGCACACGGTCTCTTGCCAGACCACGAACTGTGATCAATCTCTTTTTATTCGTTGCAGTTAGTGCCAGAAGAGCTTATGCTTTAACTATTTTTTTGTAGAATATCATTTTCATCAACGATATTTCATTCACTATCTATCATTGTATGTGAATAGCTAGTCAGACACGCCTCTCATATAGCTAAAAGATAAGCGATGAAGTATATTAGAAAGTTTTTAGAAATCGAGGCTTGGCATTCATAAAAAACAGACCGTAAGAGCATGGTGTTTGTTGATTATAGTAGGCTATTATGCTCCCCCCCCTCAAAATTATAGTCATTTCGGATTTTTCACTTCTTTATCTTGCAAAAACTCGATCTTTGCTCCAGTACTTTCAAATGGGCTGAAATTTCTACCATACATTGCGGCTGTAGTGAGGAAGCTGTGGTGAAATTTTCAGCTGGATTCTATTAACCTGAATGAAGATATAACAAATTTATTGCACATGTCTACATATGTCTTTTTTAGACCCAGTATCTCCAGCATTACTCTACCCTAGTACAACATGAAGCCAAACATTTTTTTTTGTTTGAAAGCTTGTCACTAGGGCTAGCCCACCTCGTGGCCCTTTTTT